ACAACGTCTCTAGCACACACCCGCTTAATTAGACCAAGGGTTTTATTGGCCTTGGTGCATATGTCTTCAATATGATTAGCCCAGGAGAGGTCTTTGGAAACGATGACACCCAGGTCAGAGATGTGTGTCACACTTTCCAGGGGTTTGTCGTTCAGGTGATATTGGAGTGAAGCAGAGGAGCAGACCTTTTTCCGAGACATGTGCATCACTTTGCACTTGGATGGGTTGAACGTCATGCCCCAGTCATTACTCCAATTTTGAAGGCCTGAAAGGTCCGATTGCAACAGATGGTGAGATGCCGAGTTTATGGGCCTATGGTCTATAGACCACTGGCTAAGTTCATAGGCCTTCACAACGCTCACACTGTATAGAGATGTATATAAATTCTTAGTAAAGTCTTTATTGTAATATGTTATGTTTTGTCTGGTTGAAAGTCATTAGTCCAACGCATATAGAAGCGAATATGTCGTTGTTTATATCAGTCACAGCTTGTACAGGGGTCATTGGGGTTAATATTAGCGCACTTGGTCTGTTTTATATCGTGTAATGTCATACAGTAGTTTAATAAAGACGACTGACATATCAGTCCCCATAAAACTGCCACGCAGGCTATCAAACATACTGTATTAGAATAGTTTGATCAACATTGTATATTTTAGTATGATTTATCAGGTTGAAAGTCATTTCCAACGCATATAGAATCGAATATGCATGTCGTTCAACATTGTATATTTTAATAGTATGATTTATCAGATTGCAAATAGAATCGAATATGTCAACATTGTATATTTTAATAGTATGATTTATCAGGTTGCAAATAGAATCGAATATATCGTTGTTTATTGTATTAATTAATTAGAATCGAATATGCATGTCGTTGTCAACAACACTAAGACAACAGAAATGACAATTTTGATAGCCATATCTTGCCATATCTTGCCTGCCAGTACGTATTACTGTGATCTGCAGAACACTTCTAATAATCTAATCATGGAGAATGAATGACATCGATGAAAAGATATCAACATACATATAGCCACTGGATTGAAGTATGACACTAATATTAAATTTATGAAACCTTCAAATTGTTTATATATATATATATATATATATATATATATATATATATATATATATATATATATATATATATATATATATATATATATATATATATATATCTTGACCTTGTAGTGTTCAGTGCGTGCAAATTATTTTTGACACATTAAAATACTCTGTAACTTCTTAAATCTGTTTATGCTTATTGAAAAATGCACGTAACAGTCGTTTACATATTTTTCTCATATCTGATGTTTTGTATGTGATTAAATGTGTTTATAATATTTCAACTGTGTCCAATTTACTTAATACTTTATTTCAGTAAATACAGAATTTGACAATAGCGATTAAGGTGGAGTAATACGGGCAACAAAATTGCTGCAACTTGCAACAAAATTTATGCATATGTTTTATGCATATGATTTATGCGCATGTTAATTGAAATGTTTACACATACATTACAAATCACGAGGCATATAATTTTGTTAACAAGTTGCATCAATTTTGTTGCTCGTATTACTCTAGCAGGCTACCCACATGTACGCAGCACGTACCTATTTTTAATATGTGCATCAATACCTTTATTCAACATATAAAAACTGACAAATACCGGCAATTTGGTTTCATTACAAATCTTTAAACCCAGTCCATTGGTTCCAGTTCGCTGATGATGCTGCGGTAATAAGCGGTCAAGATTCAGAAAATCAACATCTTTAAATCGATCTGGTGCCAGTGGTCTAACATGATTGTCAGGGTTGATAAGTGTTCAACATTTGGGATCAGGAAAAGTCTGACAAAATCTATCCAATATTTACC